CTTATCAAGTTTCTTCCTTGTGCAACATTTCTGTTTCAAGCTGAATAGAGTCCTCAGAAACCAGCATTGTGCCAAGCTGTGGAATTAAGATTTGCACTTGCCATGCCGAACCACCAAAGCGACCAGCGGGATCCCGGGAGTTTGGCTTCGGGTAAGGAAACTTGGGTCATGGAAAAAGGCAAGACTGGAAGAGTGAACCTTTTTAGAACCAAATGTTTTGGAATCTTAAAGCTACCAAATCTGGAAAAGGACCCTGGAAAAAAGAGAGGAGAAAGGTTTTGCAGACTGTTAGTTGCTGTCATCTCCCTGGTATTTCCCTGCCTCGCAGTGGACAGGGGATTCCCCACAGAGATGCTGCTGCTGTGGGATGGTCAGGCTGGTCCTTTGTGGAGGTGTCATCCTGGGTACTTGGTAAGCACTGCTCCTCCCAGATCACATCACCTGGTGTGAAGTTCTTTTAATAATTGCTCATAATCTTTTATCAAAGGTCAACAAAACCCAAAACATTTCAGTGAAAGTCTGGAAATAGCCATCTCTGTGGAGAATAAGTGAACTCTTCTTGCTGGTTGGCCTTTTACCTTCAGAATTTTGTGATCCTCTGACAGGTATTTTATCCTGTGCAGTCCCTGCAGGTTTTTTTGTGGGGTTTTCTCCCCACAGCTTGCCTCCCTCTAATCCTAGTAGCATTTTCTCTCAAAATTACTGCTCTGCCACCAAGCCCTAATTTTTCTATCTGAGTCACACAACAGCTCCTCACCTCCTAATGTTTTTGGAGCCTGCTGATACCTCAGCCTCTTATTATTTCTTTATTTCAAATACAAGTTTGTGTAATTCTGAACTTTCATTTAAAACAACAGGCTGCCCAAAAGAAAGCAAACTCATTGCCACACTGCTGCTGTGGTGACAGCAAAACAAGTCACTGCAGTTCCTAGGGCTGATTTTGTGTCCTGACTCTTGCACGTCTCACAGAAAATAAGATTGGGTATGCAAAATAAAATAAAACTAAACTAGGTATACTTGTAAGAGATTATGAAGTTTACTCTGTAAATGTTCCTACAAAACAAAAAAAAAGTCCTTGAAATCTCTTTGTGGTGTTCCATAGTATTTTATCTTCTGCTGAGCAGGGACATGGTAAGAGTAGTTACCCTAGAGAAGAGGGAAGAAATTAAGCAGTTCTTTGTCCAGGAACTGAAATTTTTGTCCCTTATTTTTGCAATAGAAATTTTAGCTTTTTGTTCTAAAGGCACTCATCTCCAAACCAAAACTTTTCTCTTCAGGTTTCTGTAACAAGAGGTTTGTAAGTGAATCAGAAATTACAAGTTGTGTAAACCCTTGACTGCTGTAGCTGTTTTCATGGCAAGGCTTTCTAGAACATGAGATCCATTGTAGTGATGCAGTATAATACTTCCAGTATGTGATGTAATTAAATGTGCTAAAAGCAACATGAAACATTTCAGTTCCTCTTGTAATGTGAACATACTGGGAGTATTGTCATTAGTGGGGGCTTAAAATTCCCTGTTAAATACGCTTACATAGTAAACATGACCATTGAATCTTGGTAGCTTTGTCATATTTTATGAAATAGTTGTAATAGCTTTTTCAGAAAACCATTCCCAAAAGCTCACTGCCCTCTCCAAGTGAAATTTCCCTTGGCTCCTCAACACAAACCCTTCATTTCCTTGACATTCCAGCTACGTTTGACATCATCCTTAGCTTTTCATCTGGACCCATGACAACGAACAGCTCGACTCTCCTCTAAACATCTGCTCCACCACAGATTACATCTTGGACAAACCTGTTACTTCAAGTAGACCAATCTTCTGAAACATTAATAAGAATTGAAGACTTACCTGATTAGTAAAAAGAATCCTGAAGCCCAGTTGGATCCAAGCACTGTGCGTGTAGAATGATGTGTATATGTTAAATTGAATTCACAGTTGGGCTTTGATTGGGACTTTCAAAAGATCTTAACTGACTTAAGAGCACCTGTGTCACTGGGGCTTTGTTTTTAACTCTTGCTGGAGCTTTAAAAGTCCTTCTGCTGTTGCTATAGGCCATATGAAATACTTATATTTCAATAGCAGCAAAAAATGTGTGATGGAAAATTCACATTTTCGGCATAGACACACCTCCTTTTCTTTTGGATAAAGTAAAGAGAGGTTAGGCCACAGAAATGGACTTTCTTTCTGCAAACACACATAGGTGTGTTTAGGTGATTCCATAAGGGAATCATCTTTAGGTTATTCCCTAAGGGAACTTCTGGGTTGTGCTGAAAACGAAAGAAATAGCAAAACAATTTTAAAGATGACAATTGATGAATTTCTCTCTGCCAGCTGGATTTAAGGCAGATAACTCAGGAAACTGAAATGTTCTGTTTCACTCCATAACTCTTCCCTAGCTCCTGTTAACTTCCGTTTTTCTGATGTCCTTTGCATGAGAATATTTCCCAACTTTACCTCTTGTTTGTTCTGGTGAGAATTAGAAGAGTAATGCTTATTATTTCTCACGTGGAAAGTAGCCTGTCCTACAGACCTGTGTTTGCTAGAAGTAAGATTAATTTTGGTAAATTCCCAGGTTTCACGTGGGATACTTGGAAGTACAAAACTGTTATGGATCCCCTCATGAGGAAATACTCTTGTGGTGATGGGGTGAACAAGTCCATAAGTGTGATCATAAATTACAAGATGTCCTTCACAGGAAGACACTGTAAACAAAAGCATGTAAGGCAACAGGAGGGTGATTGGATTTCTGTGTCTCTCTCTCTAGGAGCACTACTTACCTTTGGGAGAGTATCTTTATCCCAAGTACATACTGGTATCTTAAATGTCTTCCTGAAATAATGTATGTAACTTCAGACTGAACTTTGAAAGAGGGGGAAAAAAGGAGGAATGGGAGGGAGGAAGTTTCATACTAACAGGCTAGCATAGAAAATAGAATTCCCCCCAAGATATACTGTCAGCCTGTACAGGTAAGTGAAACCAAAAAATAGCAGCCAAACCAAAGGAAAAAACCAGCAAACAGGCAGAGAGGAAAGGGACAAGTTTAATGATAGAAGAAAAATACAGATGTTGGAAGTGGAAAACAGATAGAAGGGAGATCTCCAAAGGATTAAAATATTGCTACTTCCTAATTCCAAGTAAATGCAGTATAAATATTTCCTGAGTTTTCCAAACTATTTTTTCTCCCCCAAAAAAATTCCCGTAATTCTCCTGAATTTTAAGAGAGAGATGGATCACTTGGTCATTTTCTTCTAATGCAGTCAGCATCCCAATCCAAAATTGAAAGGGGAGAGTGTAATTTTGGAGGTCCAAAAATCAAAGGAGTGATTTTTATCAGCTTGATTAGGCTTTGATTTCCGCCTGCTTTCTGCATCACAACCAAATGCGTTCTTCTCAACTTTCATTGCAGTTTGAGTTACCATCATGGGACCAAGCTAAGGAGATTTTGTTCATACTTAGGAATGTTTTCTTCATCAAGATAGATAGTTGTACAACCCCCCCTTATGATATAAAAGGTCCATAGTAGGTCTCTAACTAGCTGAATGAGAGTTTAAACAAATATAGCAACAGATTCTGCCACCTTTATTCGCAGAGTGATGCTTTAATCTTTAGCTTCACACTTGGGATGGATTTGGATCCCCTTAGTTGTGTGAGAGAGCACCTTGTTTCAGCCCTAGCACCCCTGATGGTACCAGGACTGCTTTCACTGAAAGACATGCTAAACTACTCCAACATAGCTCCTTGACTTCAGCAAGGCTCTGTGTTTGGTTTGAAGACCATAATCTCTTAAGAACTTCCTACAGTAGCAGTATTTCAATCCTTAGTCCCCAGTACAGCAAGTAAAAGGTGAAGGAATAAGACCAGAGCAAAAAGATTTGAAGTGGGAAGAAGCACTGTAGAGCCCCAAGTGAAAATAATAAAATGTGTACGAGAGACCAGTAGGAAGACGTGGTCATAATTATGATTTACTGTTAATTACTACTCTGGGTGCAAGAATCAGTGCTCTTGACTATTAGGTAGCCCTTCATTCAAAATCACTGTGCTTTCCCAAGAAACTGGTGCATTACACTGCAACTGCAGAACCCAGCTCCCCTCTCTGACTGCTCCAGAATTCGGATTTACACACTCCTCTCTTACTTGCTGGGTTCTAGGCAAACTCTGGCTAAAAATATGCCTGCACCTGGGATGTCAAATTTCCCCCAAAATGGGAAACCTCTAACAATTTGTCCAGCTGTCTTTCCACCTCTTTTAGTCTTCAGAACACTCCAGCATCTCTGATAAGCATGTTCTCTGTGAAATCACAGAGGCAATTCATGATTTTTTGGATCACAGCTGATCCACGTAGCTTAAAAGCTAAGCCCCTGGCTGATCAATCAGATCCCTGTGGAAGGACCTTTGAGCCAGGACAGATCCTGAGTGAATTCCGTGGCTCTCTGTGCAGGCTAAAGGTCTCTCCAGTTGTATTCTGCTAGTGATCAGTCAGAGTCTAATACTGTGTCTATTTTAGGCTATGTTAATAACACATATTACTATTAGTTAATAAGGCACTTCTTTTTAAAAAAAACCACAACCACCAAAGTCCTCAAATCCCTAGATCATTAGAACACAGTTGGGGAGAGGGACAGAAAGAAAGCACTTCTCTATTAATTTGACATACCAGGAATATTGCTTACTGTTGTTTCTGTTGTGATCCTAAAGCAAAAACCTAGTGTCCTGCTCACTTCAGGCATCTCTTCGTTTCAGAATGTTTGTCTATAAAGCACCTGATAATACGCATAAATGTGCTAAAATTTATGTCTCTTTTGATTCCTTAAAAAAGTTCAGTGATTTTTTGGACCCAGATTTGAGGTGATACATCTGACATTGTTAGGTGAGCTAAGGAATAACACCACTGGCACCGTTTGTGTGCCAGGTGAGCACTGCAAACTAGTGGCTGCAAGCAACACGGACACTAAGTTTGAGCTCTAGGCTTTACTCTGCAATAACTGATGGCTTCCACACCTGTGCAGTGACTCCAGCTTTCTTGGCTGAAAATTTTGGCCTCGGAGCAGTAAACAAAGAGGGGGTGGTGGTTTCTGGCTTAGAAAATGCAGAGTAGCCTGTAGGTGAATATGATTCATTTACTGGGAGAGAGGCATTGGACTGGAACGGAGGTTGGGAGCCGTAGGCTGGCACGGAGTACACTGAAGATGGCCGGGCCCTGGTGGGAGAGCCAGCACCGGGTGGGAGGAAGGTAGGCAAAGGTAGAGCTTGCTTGGAAGGGGACAGCTTCGATGTCTGCTTCATGGCAAGGCTTTCCTTAGGAGGTTGGAAAGTAAATAAAGATGGATCGAGTTGATAAGGTTGATGTTTCATAATATCCAAAGCATTGAGACCTTTCTTAGGTTTTCTTTTCGTGTTTTTGGTGGCAGCAGCAGACTTAGAGGAAGCCTTGGAAGCAGCAGGAGGGTAAGATGGGCAGTGGATGGGATTGTAGGCAACAGGTGGAGGTGCTCGGACGTTGGATGAGTATTTCCAGGAAGCTGGCAAAGACGGAGTCGGAGATGAGGCTCGTGCCATGTTTGCCTGCACAGTCTCTGAATCCACCACGTACTTCTCCATCCGGGAGTGCCTCCTGGCAAACAGCTGTGCTCCTTTGCCGCTCATGGCCGGTGGCATCTCAAAGGGTGGCTTCGTTTCCCCAGCGCTTGGCGTGACTGGCGTTGGCTTTGGGGCATAGCTGGGACTTGCCAGGCTCGCCTGGGGCCCTTTGAAAGGACCGGCTAAGTTGAGAGTGCTTGGGGGATGGGTGGGAGAATGAGGATACTGGGGAGATTTCGGTGGTGCAGGATATGCTGCCTGAGGTGAGGCTGGTGCTGGGAAAGAGGGAGCCTTGTTAGGAGCCGCGGCTGAAGGTGACCAAACCGGTGAAACTGGAGCACCGGCGGAAGGAGAGACCTTGAGTGAAGGTTTTGGAGCAACGGGAGGAGGGGCCTTTTGTTTAGATGCTTGAGTCTGCATGAAGTTGCAAGCTTCTGCTCCCAAACTGAGGTAGTCTTCTTCAGGTCCTGACTCAAAACCAGCTCCAGCACCCTTTTTGCCCTCTGAGTTGTGTACGAGGGACAACAGGGCGGGATTAGGACTTACTTTGGGTGCATCTTTGAAGTTGAACATGGGTTTTGAAGTGCTTCTTCTCTTGGCCTCTTGCAGTATGCCAGTTCTTTTGGCTGGCACGGCAATCCTCTCATCCCTGGATGCTATGTGTTCCGTGGGCTCCGGGGGTGCCCACAGGCTTGGGGCAGCCTTGCTGGCCACAGGAGCTGAGACAGGTCTGTAGAAAGCCTCGGCTGGTGGGCTGACAGAGCAGTAGGGAGGCGGTGCTGCTGCATCTGAAAGAGGACTAGTGACATTTCTGACAGGTGAAAACGGTGCAGCTGCTCGGTTTTGAACCCCAGAAGGGAAGGGTTTAGCTGTTATATTCAAAGATGGTGCTCTGGGGGCTCCAGAGGGCTGAAAAGGGAGGCTTGTGCCTGGTGCTAAGCCAAAGCCGTTTTGTTGCACCGTTTTGCTGTGGTTCTGGCTCACGTCTGTGTAGCTTTTGCTCACGCAGGTCTGCTGTCTCGATGTTTCCTCCTCCTTTGATTGATAGACTGAAGAGCTTACTTTCTGGAAGTTCTCTGTCACCGTGATTTCCCTGTGTTCCTCTGTCTGCACTGTGCTGGCCTTCATCTCCTCTTGCTCCGCTGTAATCTGATCCATCCTCTGCCGTCTCTTGGCAAACATGAGGGCCCCTTTCCCGGTGCTGTCTGCGAGCGTCTGCATCTCCTCTCCGCTCTTTGTCTTCTTCTCAACCTCCAGTAGACCACTGTCCCAGTCAAAGGTCACGATCTTACCGTCCTTGTCAATGTCAGAGAAGAAATCCTCATCTATTTCTGACTCGCTGGTGGCAAGCAAACTCACTTCGAAGGTGTTTTCTTTGTCCCCCTCTTCACCTTCGCCCTCCTCGCCCTCGTCCTCGTCCCGTTCTAACTCCCCCGTGCCGTAGCTCACTAAAGTGTATTTCCTCGCCCTTTGGCGGCGCTTCTTGAACATCAACACCCCCTTGGAATTGGGGTTGGGAGCTGCTGTCAGCAGCAGTGCAATGCTTTTACATTTAGATTTGGCTTCCTTGACCTGCTTCTCCGACAGGCTCTCACTTCGTCGGAGCCCTGTGGAAAGAATCAAAGTAAACATTTATTTTCAAGCATCCCACACAATTAATTACAAGGGGGCTAACAGCTGCATTTATCTACACTGAAAGTTATCCACCCTCCTCTTTTCCCATAGCAAAACATTTATTTTCTTTTGTATGGAAAGCTCATTACACTTCAACTTTTCTCCCAGTATCAGCTGTGTTGTAAATTCCATCCCCAGCATTCCTTAGAGTCACACCCATGCAAGTTCAAAGGCTTCATCACTTTCTTTGGGACTCTCTTAGTTCAACAGGAACATTGCATGTGTCTTTATTTCTAACATTCTTAATTTTTATTCCCCCAAGAAATCTCAGCAGCAACAGGCAAGTGATATTTTCTTGCTTATCCAGTTTCTGGTCTGGTATTTACTGAGTGTTTGACCACAATTCCTGGGCTTCCATCAGCCATTCCCAGCAAGCCAGACTGTTTAATATCTGAGATCGAATGAAACCGAGCATGTTCTGTCAGACAGTGGTGGCAGCTTCTGCCATTTAGATGTTTATTTTACTCTTATAAATTACAAAATATGTATAGTTGCTATAGGATGCTTCTATGTATTAGGTATTTAAAAGTAAATATACATCCAAAAAGGCATACACAGAAAATTATTAGCACCAACTTTCAGCCCCTTGGAAGATGTGGGAGTTTGGCTCAAGGAAAGCAGGTTTCAGTCTTTTAACAAGCCTTACTTGCCTGGCATATAATCTAAAGTTCTGTAGGATATAAGAGCTCCAGAATACTTATTTTGAAAATGTGGCAAGAGTGAACACACAACTGACTTCTCAAGTGTATTCGCTAGCATGTATCAATGGCACATTTTTCTTGAAGCATAAATTGCTGGTTTTCATCAAGTCATGTGGAAGGGGAACAGATGCAGCTGTAAAGCTGATGGATGCTCTGCACGTCAGCCTGACTGCTTCCTTGTTATGGAACATGGAGCATGTGCCTCATGGGGCAATGCTGGTCAGGTGGTGTCCCTGTTTCTTTCCTTTCCTTTCCTCATACTCTACCACTGCATCTCATGAGTGACAGCCTCAATGGCTTCTCCCTTCAGAAAAAAAAGCTGGAATTCAAAGCTGTTCCTTTTGAAATCAATGGTCCCTTCCACTTAATTTCAAAAGGACAAAATGTGACTCTGATATAAGAAAATAGAACAGTAAATTATTTAGTATCTTTTGCTAGCATACATAAAGCAAACTTATTAAAGAAAGCCACGTGATGAGGTGTTGTCTATTCATGATCCTTTTAGCCATGTCAGTAGATGGAGCTGATACTTCTCCTATTAAAGACAATTGGAGTTTTGCCATTATGCCAGATGACAGCACGACTGGACCAATGGTTCTCACAAGAACTGTGAAAGAGAGCATGGCACCCAAACCAGCAATTTGTAATATTTTATCGTGGGAGAGTCAAATCACAAAGTCCTTGGCTCAGTCCCGTGACCATCCAAATGCTCTTTCCAAAAGTATGGCCTGTAGTGCTAGAGTGTTACCTGTTCAGGTAAATATCATCTGATTATTATTTACAGAGGAAATTCCTGCTAAAGAGATCAAGCACCTTTAATAAATGTTCTTCTCTAGTTCAGACTGAAGTACTGCATTATAGCTTCTATATTTGCAGAAAACATGCATAGTATTTGCTGCACACAGAGTATTCCCTGTGCTCAGCAATTTGTCCATTCTAAAGTCTGGGTAGGATTTTAATAATAATGCAAAAGTTTTTATAGATTAAATCAGTGGTTCCTGAGGATAATGACCTGCCACTAGATGAGAAAAGACTGAGATTATCATAGTTGGCATGGGAAAAGAATTGGATCTATGTCCTGCTTGAAAGAAGAATTTATCAAGTAAAATGCAGTTCATGCTTTTGTACTTTTACCTTTTCAGATAGGCACTGCAAGTAATTCTTTAAGAAAAACAGGCACAGTCCCACAGTTGGTTCTGCCTTCGCAGCCAAAATGTGAAGCATGGGCACTTTTCTTTTATACTTCATTTAATATGCCCAAAATATGTGGGTTGCATACAGACACTTAGGCATAAGTAACTGCTTAATCCACTTGCCAATAAGACACAAATAGTTATCATGCTAAAAATATGCTTCCAGAGGACTTAGCAGTGGGTTAGCAGAGGAGTTCCAACACTGCATATGAAATAACTTGTTGCTCCAACATATCACTGCACACATTCAAGCACCTTTGACATACTGCTGCTAAATCCCCAGACAGGATTCTTCACATTGTTGGGAAGGAGCAAGCCACCAACAGAGAGGTCCCAGATGAAGAAAATAATAAGTAGATAAATAAATGAATAGGTTAATTAAGAAATAATATGCTTCTTCACCCAATTAATTAATACTGGCAAGTTTACTTCCATGTAAACTTCTTGGACACATTTTGAAGCTGACCTCTGGGTATGGGAGTCAGGAGAAATAGCGTGTTCACTTTACAGTCTGGAGAAGGCTGACAAAACCAAAAGGATCATGTAACAGTTATACACATGCTGGTGTCTGTCAAAATCTCTTCTGCAGACAGCATCAAGCTTTTCTGCTGGCCCTTTTGATTAACTTTGGAGAGCAGTGGCATGGCTTTGATTTTCTAGATGATGCAAATGGCAACGCAAAGCTTTTGCTATAAAAGGAGAAATCCCCGGGATTCACATGTGCAAGCAGCTTGCTCTTTTTGTTAATATTCTACAGATTGCCTCTGAATATGCATTAGAAGACCAGCAGAGTTCAACCCTTTCTGGAGATGTAAGTATTTTTAGTTGGACAAAGTCCTGAGTTAATTTCAAAGTGGAAGTCCAGTAAGCACAGTTATTCAGCACAGTTAAGGCACGGGTATACTCTTGGTTCATCATCAAGAGCATTGTAGTACCCTGAAAAAATATCTAAAGCAAGAACAGAAACATTGTTTGAAAGAAAAAAGGAGAGGGAAAGTTAGAAAACTGCAGAAAAAAAAAATATCTCTAAACATTTCTTTCTAATGCCTTTTAAATCCTGAAATTATATCTAAAGTTACAAAAGATGCCCTCAGGCAGTGCAAATGATTAGATGGGAAATACTTACTTGCGTGCCTTGCCCTGTGCTTGAGAGGTCTGTGTTCCTTTTCCGAGGGCTTGTTGTCTTCTCCCTGCTCTGTGCCTTCTGGTGAGATTGCAAAGGAGAGGAGGGAAGGAGGTGCTTCTGACTGCCCTCCTTCTGCTTGAGAATCAACACACCCCCTGTCAGACAGAGACCTGGGCGCTTCCTGCTCCCTGTCTGAACAGTCTAGGATCACCTCCACCCTGGGGATAGATGGAACTGCACCTTGGATCCTCTTGACCTCTTTACTGCTGGAAAACTGGACTACTTTGTTTGACCACTGGACGTGCCCCTCTTTCCCACCCAGGGGGATTGCGATGAGGGGGCTGCTCCCGTCCTGTTGTCCACTGGCTCCTCTTGCTGAAGGGGGGCTTTTCTCTGCCCCCAGGAGAGTCACAGCAGGAGCACTGCTGCCCTTGTGTGTGTCATTGGAGAGGGACAGCTGCAGCTCAACCACAGTACCTGGCCTTCTTTCTTCTGTCTTCCCTCTGAGAGCAGCCTCGTCTGCCACGAGCACTTTGGAGGCACCTATCACTTTAGGAGTAATTCTGGGGCTTTGTGTGGTCTCTTGTTTTGTCTCAGAAAAGTTTACGTTGCTTTCTGCTGCTCCCTGGTGAGTGCCACTGTATATCTCTGTGATGCATAAATCTCCATGGGGTATCTCTGTCGCTGTGTTCATTTGCAGTGTGGCGTTCTCCCTGTAGTCCTCATTTTTCACGTTCTCAGGCTTTCCATTTGCTCTTTCAGCACTCAAGGTTTCATTTATTCCACTGGAGGATCTGCACATACATAAACAAGTAGTTGTAGAAATTAAGCTGCTGTAAACACAACCATTATAAATACAGTTACAAAAGCAGTTTCTCAAGGTAACAGTTCAGTTAAGAGGGAAATTACACACCAGTGGTAGAACTGTATCATTCCTAACATCAGGATGCTTTCACAGACACATTTCTGTTACAGGGTTTCCAGGCAAATGCTGCTGAGACTTCTGGGATAATATTTCACATGCCCATCAGAAAATTAACTTTTCATGACACCAGAACAGGGGTTAATTTTTGGCTCTGTGGCTGCAGCTGTGTTAAGCACCATCCTCACATGGAGTTCCTGTACCAAACAGTTCCCTCTCTGAGGGATACAGAAGTACTGGGTGAGGATCAGAGGGAGGGGAATGAATACTTAAAATACACATTCAAAGAATTCCTGTGAGGATCATCATCCTTATATATCATGGATCAATTAAAATACTCTGGACCTATTCCAGTGATCCGGCATAAAAGGGTAGTGAACCTATGCAACATTTCCTAGTTATTTAAAAATATATATTTCTAACTGGAAAATGTTATTTTCACTTCCTGAAGCCTACTGTAAATCTCAGTGTAGCTCCTTTCCCTAACCTATTAATTCCCCTGGCCCAGTTAGGCTGTTTTACTGGTTCTGTCAGTACGCTGGACCATACTGACTACTATTAATTTGAGAAGAAAGCTTCTCTGTACAGCAAGACTACAGGATGTTATTAAGACTTCCTATTGACTAGAAGGTACCAAAACACTTTTTCAAAAGAGAGAAGCAGTAGGTTCCCCCAATAAAATATTAATATTAGATATTATGGAGATTTTTGAAATCAAAAGCAGTCCTGGGTATTCTGAAACTTTGGAACCCCCTGAGAAGAAAGGCTGGAAGAAGCAACAGAAGAAATAAATCTGTCAGTGCACTGAAGAAGCTCCAATATCACTTGCTTTTCTAGCCATGCAGCACACTGTTTGTGGCACTCTGGGTCTGCCTCAAAAAGCACAAAATGTGTAACATCCATTTCGCCACATATGGAGCTACATAAGGGTCAGAAGGATTTTAATTTAGGGAGCTCCTTGTGAGTGCTGCTGGATCCCATCATATTATGCTATTTGGATGATCAATTGTACTGCTCTCAAGCACAGATAAATTACTGAAATCTGTAAACATTTCCATGTAAGATATGGACTGGGGGCTGGGCCAGCTAAATGTTAGCCTTTATTGGTAGCTGAGTGATTGTGTGCATGTGTGAGAGGGAAAAATTTCCACCTTAAAAGGCCCTTGCTACGTATGGATATACTTCTACTCTATATAGACATAAATGTTATCCTCTGTCAAAAGGCAGAATACTGGGTCTGACCTCTTTTTTTTTTGTCATTTAAGATTCTGTTTTGTCAAATTATTATTTTTGTTTCAGGCCTTTCCAGCTCGCTGCAGGAACAACAGTCCTGGTGTAATTCCAGGAAGGAAGCAGAACCCACGGAGTCAGCACGGCAGGGTTTGTCTCAGACTCATGTTTTACTCCCTACATGGTGCATTTCATGTCGGTATGCACTGAGCACACTCCCTCCTTCCCCCTGGAAATGTTCTTTCTAGACTCAGCAGTAGCCCAGGAGTTGCTCCCACTGATGAGAAGAGGGCAGGCTGGTGTTTCAGTCCCCACTCTCCGTGTTTTCCCGGATACATCTGTTCAGCATTTGTCGGGAAGGTCAGGAGATGCTCCCCCACATGGCATCTGGAGAGTGCCCGCCCTGCAGGGTGTCGCTTTCCTCTGATCCTGCAAACAGGACATTTTCGGGGCTCTGCTGCTCAGTAACTGACTGTGCTTTACAGGGAATTGGGAAAACTTTCTGTAGACATCAAAGGCCAAGTAGCATTTTTTTAAACTACTTGGGAAGCCTAATTTGCCTCCCAGGAAGATTAATAAGAGCAAAATTAGGCCAACAATTAATGCCTGTGAAAACCTCATCCTTCATGCGAATGGTTCAGGAACAACCAATGTATTCCCAAAGGAAAATATTCTTCCCTGCCAACAAAAGATACTTAGATGTAAAGATCACCATTGGAATACCACTGTAATTATTCTGTCCTCGTGATTTCCAGCTTTTTCTTGAGTTGGCTGCTAACAAGTGGCTACTCAGGAAAGGAAAGATTTGCTTCTCATTGCTCTCAGAGGATGCTAAGACACTTCCTGATAAGTCCTTCTGGTGGTAGTGCTGAGAGGGATGGTACCCACAAACAAGGTGGGAGGGGAAGAGAAATGTTTCGGTCTATTCTCCCATACCTGGGAAGATACTGACAACACGGGCTGGGATTTGGGAGACACAAAGAAATTCAAAGATTCTCACAGTGAATCCTTTAGAACATTTTATCACTTTCAGAGTGTTGAACAACTGCAATTTCCTTAATATTTCTACCAGACATGGTTTTGTTCCGTGAAACACTGAATTAGGTGGTCTAAGCAGTGTTTTGGTTCTGATTTCCAGGCCGTGCCTTTCTGTTCACCGTACATTTAAGCAGGGGCAATGGAGAGTCCCTCTCTCAGCCAGTGTCCTGCGGCCTTCAGACAACTGAAATACCAGTTGTAGAACGGCAACAGGCAGGACTCAAAGCATGTGGAGCTATTTCTGTGGCTGCAAAGACAAGTGGTCAGCCACAAATACCATTTTTACAAGTGCAGTTCCATAGTCACGTTATGAATTAAAAATGTAAGAACGCAGGTACCACATGAGGAGCACCCAAATGGTACTCTTATGTCCTTACAAGGAGTGACTGTGGAGTTTTCAAGTCTTTTCTTCCTCTTTTTACCCCCAGTGAAGGCAACTCAGAGTTCATCTTGTCTGAATTCACAAAGTCTGGGGAAAATGTGCTTTCAGGAGGTGGGCAGGCATTGCAGTAGACTAATGTGCAGTGAGCAGATTTGCAGATTTACATGAAGCTTCTCTAAGAAACTCAAAGCATTTCCAAAGACAATTGAAATTCACCCTCAGCATTTTATAAATGCAGAAGCTGAGACCCAGAGAGCTGTAAGTGACTTGCCCCACCTCGTCTGGGGAGGTGATAACAGCTACAAAAATAGAATTCCTGACTTCCAGACCCTCTCCCCCTTCTGACTCCTAACGCATTCTGCCACCCAAGACGACCATTTGCCATGTCATCATCAAGGCATATCTGTGTAACACACTTTCCCCATCTGTACAGCCTTTGCTTTTTGTAAGCCTCACTTCCCTATCTGTGGGGAATAACAACACTTCACTGCTTCAAAGGGGGAGAGAGAATAACTGAACCCAAGGCTCTGCAGTTTGCAAATATTAAGAATACTTCTATCTGGAGACTGCGTTCTTAATTCTGTGCCCAAACACTGCTGTTGAAATCATGTGCATTAATTCCTCCAGCTCAAATACTCTGTGTTCCCACCTTTTCCATACAGACAAGCAGAGTCACAAACATCAGCAACAGGACTATCAGCAGCTCACAGTGTAAGCCTGTAAAATGAGTGTGCTCAAAGCCAGCATTTTCCAGGTGATTCCCTCAGCTGCACCAAAGCATTCTGAGTGTTCCTGTACCTCTTGATAAGCATCTGCAGGACGTCAGTCAGGCTTTCCATGAGAACGATGACCTCAGCATAGGTCAGGTCTCCACAGGGCTTGCCGTTGATGGACACCACCTCATCCCCCTCACACAGCCCGGCCTTGGCTGCTTTGCTTTTGCTGCGAACCTACAGGGAGTCAAAAACAAGTTCCAGATTGCACAGTTAGTGTCCATTTGGAAGCAGCAGCAACCAAGTCCTCAACTTAATTTTATCTGTACCAAAGAAAAAGAAACAGTAATATTGATCATAAACAAATTCCTAGTAACTTGTCCCATTTGAGGTTAATGCAGTTCTGGCCAGTAATAACAAACACAAACCTTCTGCTTTACTGAACTTGTGAGCTAGATGTCAGACAGGCTGGATGTATTAATTTAAAACTGGGAGGCATAGAAATTTGGGACAATAATCAGATGATCACTGGTTGAGAAGAAATGCCAAAAACCTCATTAGTTCCTCTGAAAATAAAAGACTACTAGAGCTGAAATCTACACCAAGATTTCAGAAGAGTGTAAAGAAGGCCTCTTTGGGCAGAATGTCAAGATCTACATGCTGTTAGAGCTGTAGGTATGGAGACTCTTGGTATACTGAACATTTTTTCCTTGGATGCCCAAGTGTAGATTTAATTGCCAAACTATAAACATCTGAATCCCTGGGGATCCTAAATCCATGTTTAGTCATCTGAGTGAGTGCCCTTATTTATTAACGTCATGGCATGCCTGTTATAGTTTAACCTCCCCTGTTGAGTTCTCATTCAAGAATCTTATGCAGCTCCATTTTTGCTGTTTCACTCCTTTTCCACTGGCAATATGTTATAACTTATCATAGTCTTTGTATAACAAAACCTAGACAGCTTTGACACCACTCAAGGTATGCTGTACAGTTGACTGCTATTTTTAAAGTACATATTTGGCAAAGAGTGTGTTATATTAACCAGGATCCTTACAGGAGTCTATTTTAGAATGACACATACACAAAAAAGGGCTGTCCTTGGGTTCTTTGATGTCAGTCTTCTACCTGTTGGTGTGACTACTTTGGCCTTATACAACATTCAGTTGGTGATTACATGTGTTGTCCTTATTAATTCTCCCAGCATTTCCTTGAACATTTTTAAGAAGTAGCATAGTGCTGAACTCTTCATACTACGCTCACAGCAGCATAAACAGTCCCCACTGACTCTAGGGAAGCTACTGCTGATATACACCAAATTTGAGGGTGCAGCTGCCCCACAGACTCATGGAATTATCCCAAATAGATTATTAAGCCCTGGGGCTGGTACCTAAAACACATTTCTGGAAGCAATTCTGAAAAGATTCTTGGAGTCAGGATGACATGTGGCACGAAGAAGTGAGAGTGCACTTTTTTCTGTGGTGGGGCCCCCAGGTATGCCTTTGCTGCTTCAATTTGCACATACCCATATGTCATATTGTGGCTTTTGGAGCAGGGAAGGACCAGAAGCCTGGTGCATACAGAAGCCAGTCCCTACCTTGCAGAGTTAACATTTACAAATATGGAGTGGTATGCTGCTCTGTTTAGCTCCCCTTAGACAAGAGCATAAACTTCCTCGTGCTTCGGGAAGAAATGACAGTTTGGACAGTGTTTAGAATGTTTTACTTCATATATGAGCTAGAATTTGGGTTGAGCTGCAGTTACTGGGGTTTTTTTTTTATATATAGGAGGGTATGCTATTAAAGTTTTGCACGACATCCTAGGCCTGAATGTAGATATTTAATGTAAGTACTGTGAGGAATTTTGAGTGACATGTAAACAGCCATTATAGCAACATGTGAAACAGCATAATGTGATAGCAAGATTGTGAGAAGAAAGCTTGTTTCTCTTTATTAAATCTTTGAGAATCTGGGGTCTATTCTGTCATCAGTTACTATTAAAGCTGTTTCAGGAGAGAAACTGCTCCCTCTTCCATAACTTCAGTGATCTGTGTTAAAAATCAAAAGTACAAATGACAATGTTAGTAGCTCTACATGAATTTCTAGGCAGCTCAACCACTTACATGAGTTTTTAAACAGACTCCTTGGTAGCATTCAAAAAAAAAAAAAAGACAAGGGCATTGAATTTCCTTTTAAAGTTGTTGAAAGGACCTCTCAGTCCATTTTGTATTATCCTTTTTTTTTTCTTGGTGTTTCTGTTGGGGGAAAAAAAAAGCAAAGAGATAGCAGTGCCCAAAAAATGGGCAGGGACAGATTGTGTGATAAATTATAGCAGGGTGCTGCTAGGGTAGAATATCCCCTGATCATTTGTGTTATTTTAGCCTCAGCATACTGCCAGCTTACTCAACAATACACAGACTGCCTTACCAGGCAAGCTGTCATTGTTTCTGGCTTTGTTTGTTTGTCTTTACTGGAAACCCACACAAATGAGCAAATCATTTACACATGTAAACAAAAACTTTTCAAATTTCTGGGAAAAATTAAAAAAAAAAAAATCCCAAGAACATCTTCAGGATCTTCTTGGTAAAATATGTGTTCAGTGGACAGTTTTCTCTCAGAGGAAGAAAGGAAAAGCCTTTGAAGACCCCACTGGGAAACAAAAGCTGCCAACTTGGTCACAGAGGGGACAGTAAGAAACTTTTATCCGGTTCTTGGGAACTTCAAGCAAGGCATGTTTGGTTGTAAAGCAGAAGAGGTTCTTCCAAAACTAGTGATTGCTCTTGCTTCATAGTGCAGCCCTCGTTTCTCAGGTTCTTGTTTCTTCCTATGTACTTTGAGTTGGAGTTTTCTTTAGGAAGGAAAAGTGTTTTTTTCCTGTGTGGGATCTCACTACTAGAAAAATATATTTGTAAATATTTTCTTAGATTTTCAATGCCTGCAATTCCAGTAGAACACAGCAAAACTGAGCCTGTACTGTTCGTGCTGAACCTGTCAGGACACAGCTGCTCCTGGGGCACACTGAAGAGTTTCACCCTGTTGTCCCCTTGTGCTGCCTGTGTTGCTTTCCTGCTCCCCCTCAGTCAGGACTCTTCATTATTCAATTTACCTGAAGTGTGTAATTTCTTTTTATTCCCAGATAACCGCAGCATCTGGAATTTCCCACTGTCAGGAGTGCCCTTTGCTGATTAAAATGTCAGGTGCTGAGCGATTCCTCAAATCCACAGCAATGTTAATCTTGGGGGAAAGTTCCTTTTGTGAGGAACTCATCCGGGATGTTTGCAGTTATCAGAGCACTCCAGAGGATCCAGCACCTCCTGGCACCAGCTCACAAGCAGCAGGGACTGGGGGCTGTGCAGAGGCTCTTCAGGAGGGTCTGTAAAGACTTGGGCTGAAACTCTGAGTGAGCAAGGACTGGGTGCTGTGATGGCCTGGGGAGAGATCACATCCCAGAGGTGCAGGTATGTGGGGGGCAAAGTGTGGGATGGTAACTACTGTGGGTTGGTGGTAGCTGTGGAATGCTGCTGGGGCTGGAGCAGCCATGGGTGCCTGCAGCACATGGCAATTCCACTCAGTTTCTTAACCAGTGAAAGGAATATTAGATCTCCTCCTTCGATTTAGTCTGAAAGCAGTTTAGTTTGTACAAACCCAAGACTTCCATCCTATGAAATCAGGATAACGGGGCAATTTGCTTCAAAAAATGTAGCCCTGATGAATCTGAAAAGTTGGAGTAGGTGCACCTGTCACTTGTTGTGGCTGCAAGTGGATGCACAGACAGCAACTGGGGCTCAGCTTACCAGCTGATGATCTTGGGTGTGTGTCTGAGCCCTATAATAAGCAGAGCAGAGAGCTGAGGTATGCTGAACCTGGTAACAAGGTCAATGAGTTGGAGTTTAAAGCCAGGGAGATGGACTTGAGGACACTCTGCAGTCCTGGTTCTCTAGTTGCTCAATGAAGAATTATTAGAGTATTTCATCATCTTGTTTTTACCAGTGACTTTTGGGAAGGATGATGTATATCTTAATTTTATTCTGGAGTTTATTCTGGACCTAGGGGTATATACCTGTATCTGGGATGTGTGTCTAAGTGCTGTGCTTCACATATAGCCTGACTGAGCAACCAACCTCAGAAAATGAGCAATCTGAGCATATATGCAATCCATTTAAAACCTTTATCTATTCAAGTGAGACTGCTGTGCCTTTAAAATATACGTATATTGCACAGCTTGACTCTCAACTCAAAGCAAGCTTTCCAAACCATGGGTTATTCTCAAAACTATTTACTGATCCATTTCCAGTTTGCTGGCAGCTTTTAAACAACAGAACAGAAAATATTGCCACTGGATGGAGTGAAAATACACTTCCCTGCCATTTCAGGCCACTTGCTTGTACAGATAGAGTAGCTTCTGGAAGAACCTATTCCATTGAATATCCTGTCTAATTCCTGAAGCCTCATCTGCACTGCTGTTGGCCCTTGGGGCTTGAAGCTGGTTTCAGTGAACCTTGTTTATGTTTATTTGTGTGTCCTCAGTGTTAGTTTTGGGTGACCTTGTGCTTTGTTGTGATGAAACATGTTGCCCAAAATAGCACGGCTTACCAGGCAAAGGGGACTTGTGTAGATCAGTTGTCCATCTTCATTATTGTTTACTGCTTTAGTGGGGTCAACTGCAAGCTTTACTAGCAGTGACTTTGTGTTTTCTTTTTAAACTGTTGACTAAACTTCAATGACAAAGGGTGAAGGGTTCTTACAAGGGTATGTCCCCTGGCAGTTGTTACTCCCCTGCTGAACAGTGATTTCCAATTTAATGTCAACTCCTTGGACCCAACAACTGGCCAGCTTTTAAAGCAGTCATTTTTACTACAGTAGCAAACTGTTTAGTTAAGAAATTTATATTAAATTTATATTAGGAAATTTATATTAAATAGCCCTTTTGAAATAAAATAATTTTTAACCTTAATCGGAGCCCTCTTTCTGTGCAGTCGCTCCAGCCTCATCATTAACTAATAGAGTAGCATTGTATAAATGTGCCTTGTGTTGAGGTCTTGTAAATTTTTCCCCACAGTAGTGGTGACCTGGTTTGTGTTTAGGAAAAAGCTTATCCGTCTAAGCCTTCCCATTTTATGGAAATTTTGTGTTGTTTTTGTACTCTCTAAGCATTCTCTATCTACCTGCCACTTTACATGACTTTCTGCACGTAATTAAGATTTTAGTATCTCTCTTCAGGGGTTGTGTGCCGGGTAACTG